CGGCGTGCAGCTTTTCGACATCGCAACTTCTAAAAGTGCTCCGAAGCTGAGGTGTTTTTTACATTTTGACTTCGGAATGTGCTTCGCGCATCTTCGCGCCACAACGGCGTGCACTTTTTCGACATCTCAACTTCCAAAAGTGGTCCGACCCTGGTGTGTTTTGTACATTTTGACTTGGAAATGTGCTTCGCGCCACAACTGCGTGCACTTTTTCGTCTCATCTGGCCAGATGGCTCCGCACCCGCCGCTTTAGCGAGCATACTTTTCGACCCTCCGGAGCCACAGGTCATTGGAAAAACACAGGTTTTCGCGACTTTCCTACCTCTTCGTGCATCTGCATCTTCTTTCTTTTGACTCTTTCTCTTCTCTGATCTTCTCTCTTCTACTCTTCTCTTCTCTCTGACCCTTTCCATCTCTGCTTTTCATCTGTCCATATTGTCGGAAGTTTGACGTCTAAACGACAATAGTTCAAGTTCGATAAAGTTACTCAGCCCCAATCACACAGTACTCTGCTCATGGCAACCCTTGGGACCCTTGTGTTTGCAGAAGTGCGACTCTTCCGGTCGCACTCGCTCCAAGGACGCGCATGCTGTTTGTAAAGAAAGGTTGTGGTAGTGCACTCGTGGGTTGGCGATTGCATTTGCAATTCCTATGGACGGCCGTTTTTTCCGTGACCCTGAGCACCTGCACTCACCTGGTATACACAAATTTTGGGAAGTGGTGTGAGTTGTGGTTGTTCCCCATTGTCTCTAGACGGGCATAGATCATCTTCATTCACAGCAGCTGGGGTCACCTGTGTAGCAACACCAAGGACAACATTGGCTTTGGCAGTGGTGGCGCCCTGCTGCAGAAACTGAACCGAGACACCTTCAAATGTGCCTTCAAGTGACTCGGATTGGACGGGGTGAGCGGGGAGACCGAGAGGCTCTAACGGATGGCAATCCAAAACAAACGCGGCCGAAGTGTTCCTGGTCTAACTGCGCCCATTCCATACCCACGAGACATTCACTCGAACCGGCCATGATTGCGATGGGCGAAGGTGCGCAGAAATCACCATCAATGGCGAAAAACGAGACGTGTTAGGGCCTTAGAACGTTCTTTAGGGCAGAATCGAAATCCCATGAATCGAAAACAACAGCGTTTTCAGCATGTTCCACTTTTCATCAGCTGGTTGTTTTGCACGCCCGAGCCCCGGAAGAAAAAAAGTGAAGGCCGTGCCGTGAAGGCCGCAAATTCCGGCGATCCTCAGACCTGGCGCTATCAGGTTCAAAGACCCCATCACCGACAAGGGCAAGGCTGACCGGGAACAATAACATTATGTAACATGCATAAATGCCTGGAACAGTTGGTAGTGCTGTGGTGCAAAGCACTCAAGAGCGGATCCTAAGTTGCAAGTTGGGACGAGTCAAATGCAAAAACTTGCAGCAGAATGTTGAACCAGCATGCAGCAGTGAAATTTGATTTACGTTCCAAGCTGCATTTTTGGAGTACTTAGAGAAAGGCGACACCATGGGCCTTGCTCAATTCCTTCCCTAGGTTACCAAAATCAGTCCAAATTGTTTTTTTTCGACAAAAGAACTGCAAGCCAATTCACAAATGCCGCCTCTGCAACCTCAACGCAGAAGTCCCACAAGGCAAAAACAACTTCCTGCTTATATAAACCTTTACAATGCCCAGTGAGCCTGGCATCACAACTACAGCAAGTAAGGGTTGATTCAATACCATCCATGGTGTGAGTGAAATGAACCTTATGCAAAAGAGGGACCCTGAACTTTCCTCAATTTGGATCATAGGACAAAGCGTTTCATCGCTGGGTTTCCTCCAAAGGCTTCCAAGAAGGGTCGCTTGACACTGCAGCTGGCCTCAGAAACTTGGTGGCACCTAACAGCAATTGGGGCTATCGGATTCCAGGGTTCTCTAGCACCAAGAACGATTAGTAGGTACAGGTGCGATACCATACCATACCATACCATACCCTCCTGTACCAGTACCAGTACCGAAGTACCGTACCCGTACCCATTCCCATGCCATTACATTACATGACCTTGCATCACACTACATCGCATTGCACCACATACTCACATCGATGCATGCGAGCAGACAAACGGACAGAGAGACGTGACATGCGTCATCAGACGTGACACACAAACATAATCAATCCATAATCAACCCCCTATTGATTCTTTAAAAAATCCATAATATTCTGTAGAGGTGATACCTGTTCCAACTTTCAACTTGTTTCTTTGATTTTGATATTCAATTCTGACACGAGGTCCAATTATGTGCAGGGTTGGGGGTGCGCGGGCATTCTACAGAGGGGCTGTAGCAAAGTATTATTGAAGAAGGCTTTCAGAAGGCTGTGTAATGGATTTGTAGAGATTCAACGCTAACCTCAAAAAAGCTGCCACCACGCTGCCTTCTGCTTCCCTTCAACCAAGACAATGACTTCAGCCTATTCTGCCCCTTTTGGCATGACGCACAAGGATCAAGAAACGTTCTTGAATTTGACCGCTGTGGTCTTGGGCTGGACACACCAATCTTAAAACAAAAGACTTTACAGAATCAGACACCACACCTCTGAAATAGATATATAAACTTCTACAGAATCTGAAGGCACGCCTTCAATAGCACAGGCATGTGAAATAGAATTTGGAGTTGATACCTCTAAAAATCAGGGTGCAAACCCATGATTGAACCACCACTCTGCAAAATGCACCCTCTACAGAACCTGCACCCTCCCCGAACACCAAGCGCGTGGATAATAGATATATATATATAAATAATAATAGTAAAACATGCAACAACAGTAGTAATAGTAATAATAGTAATGATAATGATGATAATAATGATAATTATGACACCAATGATAATAATGATAATAAAGATAGATAGATAGATAGATAGATAGATAGATAAGAAAGAAAAATGGATAGATATATATATATAGATATAGATAGATGATAGATATAGATAGATATAGATAGATATAGATAGTTACAGAAAGATATATGGATAAGAAAGAAAGACAGATAGATAGATAGATAAGATCAATAGATTGGATTAGAATAGATTTTACTATATAATATATATATATAACATGATATAGCAGCATTATATTATTATGTTATGTTATGTTATGTTTTGTTATGTCATGGTATATAACTATAGCGTTATATTGCAAATGATAAGATCAGATTTGATTAGATAGATCGATCGATTGATTGATAGATACACGTTGTTCATGCACATGCATGTACAGTTATGCATATGACATATGAACACAGATTTTCTATGCAACACAGCATGCACATTGCTGTTGACCAAAACCAAGTATCCACAAGCTATTTTGCTCACTTTTGGATTCGCGATGCACACAGGTTTAGAATGTACAAAGGTTTGGAACCGCAGCTTTTTGCGCATCAATAAAAAAACTAAATAATTAATAGATGAATAGATTGACATAGATGAACAGACAAACAGACTAACAAATGAATAGATACGCATGCGTGCCTGTACGCATGCGTGTCTGTATGCATGCATCAATTCCAACCCACATGCTGACTACCCAACACACATATTTATTGTGAACTGGCATTAATTAATCAGGACTTCACCGGCGATAGTTCAAGTAAAAAGCAACACTAATTCATCATGATACAAATGTGTGGCTGCGTGCCAAGAGTTGGCAGCACTTTTTATCACTTTTTATAGGTCCATATCAGCTTCATAAATGCGGTAAACAAAGCGTGTCTGGGGCTCACCAAGATGCGGGTAGGGCAAAGATAATGAGTTCCACCATCGGCCAACGGATAGGCATTGGTGACATGCTACACAAGGAGTTTGTCAATCAAAGTGAAACTGCTGCATGAAAGCTGCTATGGGACACAGCGCGAAATAAACTATGAACGGCTGCCAGGCCAAGCACAGCACGACAATATTCAAAAGGTGCCAGAACCACGCAGGAAATAGAGACCCTTGTATTCCAGGCAAAAAGCATTAAGAAAAACACAGAAAAGAGGATATGAGTTTGGGATGGGGGGTTTCAAGCCCGACAGCGAAACCATCTCAGTTAGTGCAGAGGAAACCACCGGCTTCACCGACGCGGACAAGTGCGCTGAACTGGTGCATTCAAAGTGCTGAAAGACTTCCAGTTTGACATCAACGACCCATCAAGGAAAAATCCGTGGAAAGACGACGCGTCTGTGACAACGGAGTTTTTCAACAGACTTTTTCGACTGTCAACTGTCATGATTTTTGCAAAAAAAATCTGCAGGTACAAGCCTCGCTCAGATGCCAACCCAGTTCCTGGTGGCACTGGCTGCTTGCACCTGGGAAAGCACTGGGAAAGGGAGAAAGCCCATGAATTCCATATCAAAACCAGCCACCTCCAACATTATTCGAGATTCTCGCAACTTAATTGGCTTAATTGATTTTGGATAACGATCAGGGTTTTTAGGATTTGTTTCATTTGTGAACGGCAACTGCCTATTGCAGCTGACATTCCAAGCTTGAACCATGCTGCTGGGCTGCAGGCATTACAGCACCGATGGCAAGTTCGTCACCGTGGCCAGTGGCAGGGGAGATCCTAAAAAGGATATCTTGGTGGACGTTTTCAAGGACTGGTCGCGCTGGGACAAAGAAGACGGAGAAAGATACAGCCATGATCTGGGACCATGATGTAATGACAAAGTAATGTTTGCGCTACAATCTGCCAAGCTACTTCTCGGTAGCCTTTTGAAGAGTTTATGCTTTGACCATGCTTTGGTACCATTGAAGCCCTGCATTAATTACTCATATGTGCTTTTCTCATAGGTCCTAACTCTATCCAAGAGTACATTGATAAACCTGCTTTGAATCATGCATTTGGAGTTTTAACTGATTTTGACAGATCTATATAATCTTTTAAACCTGATTTGTTTTTGTTTTTGCTGCTTTTGGCAGAACGGCAGCCTCCTTGTGGACTACACTCTGGACGAGATTCGAAAAGAAGCCGACATCAAGCCGCTGCTCCGCACCAGGAATGCTGTATTTGCTGCATGGCAGGCCAATGCTTGTTTTTACCATGCTTAAAAATTAGTTGCGAAACTAAAGCCTGAAATATACAGTAGGTGGGGATTTCCAATTCTGAAGCATACCCAAGTGAATGGTCGGCACATCGCTTGTGCCTCCGGTTTTCGTCGCTGTGCCTCGAGTTTTTTATACGTGTGTTCAGTACGCTGCCTACCTTTGTCCATAGGGCTTCTATGTTTGGTCTCTCCGTGTTTTTTTGGTGTTTCTTTCTAAGTGGTTTCTATCTCTGGCTTCTATATGGCTTTTTTGTTTGCCTGCACATTGGCTTGTATGTCTGGCATCAATATAGCTTCTATGTTTGATTTCGAAGTGACTTCTATCCTTGGCTTCTATATGGCAATATCTTTTTATGTGCGTCATTAATTCGGCTTCGATGTTTGCCTGCTCAGTGGCTTCCATGTCTGGCGTCCATGTGGCTTCTAAGTTTGGCTTCCAAGTGGCTTCTAAGTCTGTGGCTTCCATGTGGCCTTTATGCTTGCGTGTTACGTGACGTCCATGTTGGGTGTCAATATGGCTTCTATGTTTGGCTTCTAGGTGGCTTCTATTTCTGGCATTTATGTGGCTTTTATGTCTGCCGGCTGAAAGACTTCCATGTCTGGCGTCAATAGTATGGCTTCCATGTTTGGCTTCAAATTGGCTTCTATGTCTGCTGTCCATGTGGCTTCTCTATATGGTTTCCAAGCGGCGTCTATGTCTGGCGTCTAAGTGGCTTCCACGTCTGGCGTCTGAGTCTAAGTGGCTTCCATGTTGCGTTTGTCAGCGCCTGCTATGTGTGGCTTTTGGATGCATCTCAGTGTGTTTGTAGTTTGCCTTCTACTTGGTCTCTTCAGCGGGCATTTAATTGTGTAATTGCGTACGCATCGCGGCCACGCAGCGGCTTAGTGGTTTCAACGTATGGTTTCCCGTGGCTCTTATGTCTGTTTCTGTGATTTGATGCGGCTTCTGATTCTTATGTTTGAGGTTCCATCTCTTAACCCCAGCACGCAACACCAAGAAGCACAACTCACCCTTACAACCTTCCACCCTCAAACCCTGGCCGCGTCTCCCACCCTATACCCCCAACCCCTAACCCACCCCCCACCCCCACCCCCTGTAACCTACTTTTGGGGACGTGTCTACACAATGCATTACAGTTTGCATCACATGTGGTATGTTCACTCTAATTCATACATGTACCACTGCGCCACCCCGTGGCCCAAGACTTGCTAGCATAGCTATAAAAAGGAGTGCTGCGTGCTGCCGGTTGGCCACAAGTGTTACAACTCTTTAGTTGGGATCTAGGGCCCCCTGAATACGGGGGATTGCTACCTCAAAGTGGTAGCGGAGCTTTGTGCCCTGCCAAGGTCCGATATTCGGACAGCAGTTGCTTCCTGCACCTGCACCGATATCCGGACTTGCAAGGGCAACTTGTGGGTCAACTCCGAGTAGCTGCCATGGTCTTAATCCATAACATGGAATCAGACGAAGAACATCTTCAAATTGTTTCATATGAAGAGCCTGAAGCCTACGCCGTTAGGACCGTCGAAGGTACCTCCACAATTTGAGGGCCAATCCAGCTGGTTTGAATATGAAGACTTAATGATGTCATTCAAAAATGCCCTTGTAGGAGCGGCTTCGTTTTACAAGTCGATGCTCGACAATGCCCTACTCCGAGATCCGGATCGTGGCCTCGCCCATTTCAAGGACACATTGAGACCGTACTTCGTGAAGGGAGTAAATCATGTGTTCCTTTGGCGGTTCCTCCAGATTTTTCGCGCGTACAGAGGCCAGAACGAATTCGTGCATTGGATAGGGCGTTTTGAGATCGCACAGAAGCGACTCTTGGCATCGTGGTCCGATTTGCTTGATCTCTCCGATTTACCGGAAGTAGGCTCGGCCGAATTCGTGGCTACCAACAGATAACGACAGATGAAGATAGAACAAATTGCCAGATGACCCTTCGAGAACAGACCATAACAAACCGAAAGGCCCAACATCAAAATCAACTTCCATTATCGGATAACTTGATGTCCTTGATTTTCTTGGTGCCATCTAACCTGAACGAACAACAGCGGCTTTGTTTCCTCAGCAATGCTTCAATATACATACCTCCAAGTGAAACAGCTTTTTCTTGAACTTTTCAGAACAGGCGTTGCCGACCCAAATATCACCGAAACCGGTCCTCGTTCTACATCATCGACGAAGGTGAGACGGGGGAAGGCGGACAGGGATTTTGGGTCATTGACGAAGAAACAGGAGAAGAAGGATTCACAGGTCTTTCCACAGAAACCGAATTCTGGGTTCTAGGCGCTAAGGGTTCATACTCTAAGTGCCGATTGTACGGCCGATCGTTCAAGAAAGGAAAACCGAAGGGCTATGGAAAGGAAGATAAGCGTTCAAGACCCGGCTTCCGCCCGAACTCAAAAGGCAAAGGTTATGCAGCATGTGACAGTGACCAGCAAGACACAGCTTCCTGGGGAAAAGGAAAAGGCAAGAAGGGCAAGAAAGGAATGAAAGGAAAGGATTCTTTCAAAGGAATGCCTTCACGGAAAGCAAAAGGTAAAGGAGATGGCAAGAATAAAGGAGGAAAGCAGTTTCAACAACCTCCACAAGCAAGCGTCGCTCAACAAGCCTCTTCTAGTACCTCACAAACCTCCGAAAACCAGAAACTGCCCAGGCCGAGGAAAGCTGGAGTTATGATTATGATACCTATTGGACAGATGACTGGTCAACATGGGAATCCTATTACAGATATGATGGAGATACTCCCAAGGTGATTGGTACAATTGCTTCTGTTGGGGAACTGCCCATTGCAGAGGACAAGCGTTCAGAATATTTTCAAAACATTCCTGTGCACGGACAGACGGACCAAAACAACCGGTTCTGTTTTTCTGTTGTTTGCTTGTTCCGATATCTCGGGCACGAACTCATGTCCATCATGACTTACATGTTTTTGTTTGTGCCCCTGCTGTACCAGTGCTTCCAAGATTTGAGCAGGAAATCATTTCAGAGCATCCGGCTCGTTGAAGAGAGCATCGCAACCGATTCCGGTGACAAGCATCCGAATGAACAACACACGTGCCCACTCGATTCCGATATTACGGAGGAGTGTGTATATCTGAATTATGATCATGGTGCCCAGCAAGCACTCCTGTGTGAGTACGTGGATCTTGGTTCTCATCCGACTGATGTGATTCTTGACTCAGGTTGTACCAGAGCCATGGGTTCCCGCTTTGCGATAGATCGTCTTGTTCAAGCCTGCCAACAACATCCAAAGCGTGACCACATTTGGTTTTCCAAACGACCATGTTCAAGTAAATTTTCATTTGCACATGGAGACAATCCACTATCAAGGAGAGACTTGTGATTCATTTCCGAAATGATCAAGCACACACTGGTTGGATTACTACGTGCGTTGACATCCTTGGCAAGGTAAGGTTCCTACTCTCTTTTCAGTTGAACAAATGCGGAACCTTCGAATGAACATTGAACACACTCCTGTAGGAGAGTTTCTCACTTGTCCACTCTTTGGAATGCAAGCTCTAGCGGTCAGTACATTCAATCATCCGGTTCTTGGCATTATGTCTCTTGCAACATCAAGTTCGAAACCGATGTACAGCTTTCAATCAGAAGACATCACATGTCCAGCATGTACCCAGTGAACCTTTTCAACCTGATGACCAGCCGATGGTGGCATCTGGGCCAAGTTCCGGTTCCAAGGACGGAGTCCCACGACGCCGGGATCCTCAACCTGAAGAAGAGACAGAAGTCAAACAGGAACCGAAGGTTGAAGTACAGGTTGAAGAGAAAAAGGAACCGTCACCTAAAGGAACATTATTACTTGCACTTCAGAGGACTCATGATAAGCTTCAATCACCGACTGAACTTTTGAAACTCCACTTGAAGCATTATCACATGTCAACTGAACAATTCAAGAGAAGAACATCCGCACTGAAGTTGCCTAAGGAAATCTACGACAAGTATGATCAGATCACCAAATCCTGTGTTACATGCTCCAAGGCTAAGATTGCCCTCTCAAGAGCCAAGGTATCAGGAATTCGAAGTGAGGCCTTCGGAGAACTTACTTTCATTGATCATGGAGAAGTTCCAATTAATCCTCAGTCCAAGCTTCAATTCCTACTTCTTTATGAGGGTGCAACTTCATTGGCTACTGCCTAAGTCGTTCAGAATAGGTCAGATCTGGTGACGATTTCACATCTTCAAGAGCACTTCGAAACGTATCAGCTGAATCCAAAATACATTGTTGCCGATCAAGCTTTTATGAGCACTGAAATGGAAGATAACTATAGCAGGCACAACATACGACCGATCTCTCCAGGACCAGGTACACCATGGCCAAATAGGGCTGAAGCAGCCATTCGCATGTTTGAGAAACAGGTCTCACTGATGCTCATATCCTCGAAGGGTGATCCATCGCTTGCCAATATTACATACAAACAGTTGTGCAGACAAGCATGTATTTCAAGGAACACTATGGTAACACATGGCGTTGTAACGCCAATGGAATTAGCATTTGGAAGAAGACCTGCCGATCTTACGGCGACAGAAAACATGACACCTGCACAGCTCACTACTGAGGCCCCTGCTCCTGAGAGACAGATTGAAGCGTATAAGGTCACTGGTGATGTGAAAGTTTCAAGAAAAACAATCTGATGACCTTCCACGAGACATTGCCAGCAAACTTCAACTTAGTGACGGACCATTCTTTCCTGGAGACAACGCATATTAATTACTGGACAGAAGATAAATCCAAAATAAAATCTGATGGTTCTCATGGAGGAAAATGGATTAAAGGAAAGTTGGTTTCAGTTGATGGAAGTATGGTTGTAGATCTAGGAACTAGAATTGTGAAGGTCAACATCAGCAAGATTCAAAAAGACCACAATCCAGTGGAAGACATTGATGTACCTCTCGATCCTGCCGCATTAGC